CCATTGTTCTATTCAATTTTGTTAGAAAATCATAAAACAGGGTCGCAAGTTCAAGTATCGATGGTGCAAAGAATGTGTACAGCTATTTTAAGAGATGTCGTATGGTAACAATTCGTATGAGACTGAAACGAGAACGAACACGTACTGAAATACCTACGTAAAGCATCTGAGCGACGCAGAGCTAGGTGCCAGTTAATAATGTTCTACAATACGTTGCAACGACTAATCGCTTTCTTTCCTCAGACGTTTAACCAATTTGTTAGTTCGTTTTTGCATGCAACTTTTGCAAAAGATTAATCTTTTGCTCTCGTCACGAGCGCGGCGACGTCCAAGGCGCACTCCTGGCCGCCCGCTATACGAGCGCAGGGTTTTTTGTATTAACACGTTAACTGCCGCGCGCATTTTACGTAATTTCTTATTATATGCGATGTATATTACTTTGAAATATTATCTACAGCAGATGAGGTGAGTTATATAGTCGTGTTTAATAAAATTATTTTTACATGTTCTGTATGGCATTAATTTCTTCAAACGATTATAGTAACAGTGGTATTATTTTAAAATTTATCAATATCGATATTTAATGTAATTCTGTATTTTACTATTGGTCGCGTGGCCGGTGGCCCCCACGGCAGTCAACGTGTTAATGATTCCTCAACAACGCCTCGGACAACTTTTTCGCTGAGGAAAATGTTGTTTAAAATTACGTCAGGAACTTGCCATTTCAATATTTTACACTAGTTTTGGGACACCCTGTATATTCTATCCTATAAATTACTGAACCAAGTTTTCACACTTACGTGAGGATTATATATTATCGATAACGACGATTAGGCGAGATCACGCACAGCACGAACAATGATTCATCGATTCGTAATCTATATCCTCAAAGTAGCGATACCAAATGGAAGTTGTACAGATAAGTTAAGTGATAGTGTAAAGTGTATGATGAAACGCATATTTTTAGAAAGGAATAAAATACATATATTGTTGCATCGTTCCGAGCTATGTAGACCGAATCAACGTTCGAAGAACTGTGGTAGAAAATGTTTTTGCAAAAACATTATTGCCAGCATTCTCTCTGCATTTAAAAAAAGACTTTTCGTCCGCAATGACCTGACGCGCACACAACACATACATTTCCAAGCAAGCATTTGCAATCCGTACGTGCATAGTTGCGATGTAGGTTACAGGAAGTCGAAGTCAATTGTAGCCGAAGAAGTACAAACCGTGTGGTTCGCGTGATACCGAGTAGAGCGCGGATTTACGGCATTTATAGGAAAACTGTACGATACAGAAAACAGGAGGCATGTACGAGTAACGCGCGTAAGTGTATTTCGTTGCTCGTCGAAGGTAATAGAAATCTCGATCCAGATTTCACTTTCTAAACTGGAACCCAAAGAATCTCATTTTACATCCGAAGATCTTTGGTAACTGTAAATAGGTTTTACATCAGAGAACTCAGAAGAGGAACAAAACCACTTTTCCTCTGCGTCGACTAATTACAATCATTAAACGGTGTTCCACTTATTTCAGTTTAGAATAACGGGACGGCGATAATCCTTCCTATCGTTTTTATCAAGGGTTAAAAGTCCAAGTACTGAACGTATATGGTTGCGGTAGAATCACGTGAGGTGTCGTCGTCGTTCCTCGGCACCGGAGAACGGGAATCGTTACGATCCGACCGTGGTTGTCGATACGATTCTTCGTAATACTTGAAACGAAAAAATTCGGTCGCGGTTAAATTGTTACTTCCGCGAACGAACATACTTACTCGTAGCTGTGAAACGCACTTTAAACTATACTTTTAAACGTCATCAGGTTGAAAAATAGCAGTATAATTATACTAATAACCTATTGTCCACGGATACTTAACGACCAGGCTCGATGAATTGAACTTCAAACACTGTTATCATCTACTTAAATTCTTCAGTCACATAATGTCAATAGAAAACTGATCTAACGAGCATAATTATGCACGTGGACTTGGTTTCGCTCGCGACAGTAAATATTTATTGATCTGAAGATCTGGGGTAGCGACCCACTTTGAATGAATTTTTATATTTTTATGAATTTTTACCTACAAAATTGAAACGAAACAATTTTAGTTTAACTGCTTGAACCATTGTTCTATTCAATTTTGTTAGAAAATCATAAAACAGGGTCGCAAGTTCAAGTATCGATGGTGCAAAGAATGTGTACAGCTATTTTAAGAGATGTCGTATGGTAACAATTCGTATGAGACTGAAACGAGAACGAACACGTACTGAAATACCTACGTAAAGCATCTGAGCGACGCAGAGCTAGGTGCCAGTTAATAATGTTCTACAATACGTTGCAACGACTAATCGCTTTCTTTCCTCAGACGTTTAACCAATTTGTTAGTTCGTTTTTGCATGCAACTTTTGCAAAAGATTAATCTTTTGCTCTCGTCACGAGCGCGGCGACGTCCAAGGCGCACTCCTGGCCGCCCGCTATACGAGCGCAGGGTTTTTTGTATTAACACGTTAACTGCCGCGCGCATTTTACGTAATTTCTTATTATATGCGATGTATATTACTTTGAAATATTATCTACAGCAGATGAGGTGAGTTATATAGTCGTGTTTAATAAAATTATTTTTACATGTTCTGTATGGCATTAATTTCTTCAAACGATTATAGTAACAGTGGTATTATTTTA